TGGCTAGCTTAACCTGAGATAGAAAAGGAAATGAAAATCTTTGTAAATACATTCAGGAGTCCTGTTTAGGAAATTACTTGTTTCATTTATTAAGTATGTTGCGATATATCCACAATACGACAGCAGCTAACTCTAACGACACTTACTAGAAAACAAAACTAAAATGCATTTTTGACCTTGACAGCAAACTCACAGAAAGTCAAGGAGATTATGACGGTAAGACAAAGTGATCAGGCTGACAGGAAACCAAAATCAGGACTAAAGTGAAGAGTTCTGTGCAACTCTAAAATTCCTGTGTTGTCACGCATTGGGGACCATCTGGCCACACCATGTTTTTCCACCTTCTTCCAAAGTCCTCCTAAACTCTGCTTTCCATCCATCCAGCATTTAACGCATTATATCCAATATTTAATGCAAACTCATAGTGTTTGGCTATTCTTATTTTACATAATGCTCAGTTTCCCACTAAAACAATTATTGTGGGAACCCTTCTCTGTGCCTTACTTTGTTCATAGGTAAAATAAGCAGTCAAGGAAGGGATTATCTCTATAGGCCAGTTCCACACTTCTAGAATAATGGAAGACTAAAATACTGAAAGGGAATAAGAAAATTAAATGAGTGTTTGCTAAAGGACTTCGTAGTCAATATCGTTTAAAGATATAAAAATTTACATAAGAAATACTTTTACCTGGTGATTTAATATTGTTACAAATGTGCATGTGAGTCAGGAGAAATATAGAAATGTGTTGTGTGTACCACCTTTTGTTGTTGTATTGGAAGATAATGTGTTAAGCTCCTGATCTCACTAAAGTACAAAGACTCTTTGGAAATAAATCACATGGCTACTATCTTTTGGCCATGAGACTAAAATGAATGGATGGCAAAGTTGATCTCCCATCAAGTAGTTTTCTTGTTAAAGTGTGATCCTTAGAAGTGGCACTGACATTTATCAAGGTCATCATAATTGTATGAATTAAATGCTTGAAAAGTTATACTGAGTCTGTATTCTCAAAGTATGCACATTCAACAATTTTCAGGTCAAACTACTTAGTCTATTTGTCACCAACTGAGATCTAAACAGTTGACTAAGGAATCAAATGATTTGCCCAACTGAGTTCACTGAGATATGTGAAACATCCAAATGTCATCATTAGCTTGATAAGCAAATCCATTCCCTGCTCCTTGATTTACGAAATGGTAATTAAAGAGTAATAATGCTGCTTTGGACCAACTCCCTTTCTACAGCTATATAAGCCCTATGCTATACTATCAGGTATTCGGTATATACTAAGTCAAAAATAAATTCTGATCAAGAATATATTTGAGTTATGGCCTACCATAGTACAAATGTTAACATGATTTTTCATTTGCTTGAATTACCTTAAGTACATAGCACAGTTTGAACATTGTGAAACCTGACCCGAACTCTCTTAACCTGGAATTTCCATTTCTTTTAAATCCCACCTTTCCGTTTCCAGCAATGTGGGGTTATTTGCCAAACCAGCATATTTTCATTATAGCTATAAAGTTGTCTACCTATATTATGGAGGAAACTATTAATATTTCATTTTCCTGAATACATTTTGTGAGACTGACGAGACCTGTGTAAACTCCCCTACGAATCTGGCAAGCTGCTTTTAGCTAATAAAGAAGCATGAAACAGTAAAGAACCACTACTAACAAACAGTACTTAAAAATTATCTGTAGTTAGGGTAAGTCCATGCACTGCATCATTTTAAGGAGCTTGAAACATACTTGGTAATTTTGATTATGCCTGAAATGAATTATTTATACAGGTTGCATAATCCATTTACTAGTCTATCTGATTTGCTGTTAGCGCGCTCTTTAATGTCATCTGTGTTTACAATGAAAGTGCTTTGCTCGTGTTAATTGATAAAAGCTAAATACTTCCCATTATCCTAACTCTTTGAAAAATAACATACTGACATATCAAATTAATTTAACTTTAAATAATGTATTGCCTAGATATTAAATATATTAAAACATGGTTTAAGCTTGTAGTACTTTATTTGCTCCATTGCTAACAATAAATCTAATACACTAAGTTAATATTATGAAAATAAGATATTATATGTCAAAAGCATTTAAACAAATGGTAAAGAGAAGATAGAGTTAGGACTCTCATCTGAATTATAATAAAATAGGAAAGATGTAACAGCTTTATGCTGATTTTCCCTTTCACCAAATAGCCGAGAGAAAAAAAACTATAATGAAAATGTTTTAATTTAAAAAATTGCCTAGAGTAAAATACGATGGTAGTAGTGATTTTTATTTTTTATAAAGAAAAGCCACAGAAAATGAATTTTTATTTCCAAACAAAAGCAAAGGGTTTCAAATAAAACAAAAAGTACATATGTGTATTTATAATAATTTCTATTAAATTTCAAATATATTACCTTAATACTAATAAAAAACAGTTTTAGGTTGTTGAAATATATAATTTTTTATATATTAGATTACAAAGGTAAGGAAATGACTACATTAATAAAAGACAGTCTGGACATTAAGTAAAAAACAGTCTTAATCTGTCAAAATATGTATTTAATCCTCTTCACTATCCATAGACTGAACATATATCTCAAGCTCTTCTTTTTATGACTAAAATGACTAATACATTAAAAAAAGTTTCTTAATTTATTGTCTTGCTCAGTATCCTACTAACCACTACAAACATAAAGAGAAAAAAGGAAGAAAGTATTGTGCACAGGAGACAAAGTTAGATGCAGTGGTCTCCATTAAAAACCTACGTTTGAATCTTAATGTTTGCACTAAAGGAAAAACAAATGGTCTTGCTTTGGCATCTCTCATAGAGCAGCCTTACATGGTTCTCATTTGCCTTGTTTCATCCTTCACTTGGACAGGAACCTCTTAACTGTTTTCTTTCATACTTTTTTTTCTCTTGCTTCCACCCCAGCACGCGCGCCTGTGCACACACTCACTCACACACACACACACACACTCTTTTTCATGCAGTCTCTTCAGTAAAGGCTACCATAGTTATCTCATGCAGACGTCTGCCCATGGATGATAGGAAATGCTGATTGAGAAAGGTTTTATCTACTTTTCATCCAAAATATGTGAGCCATTAAGGAAATTATAGAAAGCAGCAACAATATACTCTGGTTTTATTCAGAACCTTTCCCTTGCCAATTATTAAAAGGATGATATTTTTAGCCAAAGAAAGCAAAATGCATCTGCAGCAGCTGGTTTCCAAGGAAACAGAATAATTTAAAACCATGTGGAACTCTGCTCTCTAATTTTCATCAATTCCCCTTCATTCTTGGAGGTAGATTTACTTGGAATTTATAATTTTCAAAAACTATAACTGCCTTAATTTATTTTCTTTAACACATTTCAGGCGAAGAATATCTGGTCTTACATATCACCTTAAATTCCAGTCTAAGGAATGGATTAATTTCTACCATCATTTTGTTTTGAAAACAAGATCAGAAGAATCCATGAATAATTAGAAACATGGCAATATTTTAGTATCATAAGATTTTTGAAATCCAGAAATAGTTCAAAATAAATCATGCAAGAGTATTTGCTTGGGTCAATATGACACTTAAGTGTGTAAACATAACTATGTTCAGCACATTTAGGAAATTAAAGATAGTTCTCCATTCATTTAGATAATCTTTACCCAATATTCAGTAGTTTTTTTCCCCCCCTTTTTTCAATTTTGCAAGAACTGTTATGTTTTTGTCTGTTCTTCAAAGACAAAATCCATCTCCTTTCTCAAACAAAAACAAAAAGCAAACACAAGACCAAAAAAATCCTTAGAAATTGTACATGTTCGTTCCTATTAGTCTGTGAATCATTCAAAAGGAGTATTTTTAAAATATATGAACAAGTCATTTACATCATTGAAAGACTTTGTTTTATTATTATAATCAACAAGTATTAATTGATGGTCAATGTCTTCAAGTCAGTAATGACCTTTTTTAAAATAAGCTCCATTTTAATGAGTTTCCCCATCCTTAATTGACCTATATTTATGAATTAAAATCACTATAATATTAAATGGCCTTGGAGTAAAATTATTTTTCATGTCTTTACTGTAGGTGTGTCATTGAGTTTATACATTTACCCTTATTATTTACCCTCTTATAAATAAAAGACAATATTAAGAGAGAGAAGCAACTGGTAAAGTAAAACCTTAACTTTTGAGCTGTTAAAAAATATTGTCCTAGGGATATTACCAACAATATAAATACTGTGATGGAATTCTTATCTAGATATATTTTATTGATAAAGGAAACTACCAATGAAACTTGCCTAATAAGATGCTATTTTTTACAGCAGTGTTTAATCCTTCATAAACAGGTTTCTAAGCCTTGAAAATGGAAACGGCTCCATACATGTTGATAAATAAAGACAGTTGTTTAATTATCATATGAGCTTACAATTCACTAAACAAAATGATATAGCTACTCAATAGCATGAGGTTTATCAAGAGGAGTGAGTTTAAAAAAATGCATATAAATCATTCATGCTAAATTAGTGCTAAAAGAGTCTACAACCTGCAAAAATTATTTTCCTAAACCATTTCTTGTGTTGCAACTATTAAACACCATGTGAAATTTTATACTGCATATTCAGAGAAAGCTCCATTTTCTCAGGACCTGTGAATTTTACCGAGCTTTCCTCAACCTTCCTTTGATTTCCAATAACATACACTTGAATAAAAACAAACGATAAAAGACACATGATGACTCATCTTATCCATTAACTTTGCTTCTGTAACACTTGCTAGAAAGTTATCCAGGATAAGACACGCCTCTGGTGTTTTTATCAGCTAAGGATTTTGCAGGGAGAGAGAACAGCTCATTGCAAAGCTTCCTCAAGTAATGAGAGGGACACACTTTCAAGGAAATGTCTTATAGAATAATTTCTATATCATAAAATTGTCTCAGTAGGAATTGAGAAGCATTCTCTTTTGAAGAAAAATAATTTTTTTCCTTCTCTTTTGCTCTTACCTGTAAATATGGTTTCTGTACTTCGGCTCCGTCAGAACAGACTGAAGAGTTCTCTCCTCCCTAGTCTACCCATGAGGCAGCAGCCAACCAATAACAAAAGCCAGATCCTGGCATTCTCTAGCTCATGCTCCCTGTCTGCTTTCATCCCTCATTCCCTCCCACCCCCACTCTTTTAGGAGACAAATCCTTGCAGCTGGAGAGAGGCAGGGAGAGGAGAAAAGGAACATGGAGAGGAAAGGAATAAAGAGATGAAAGATATTTCAAAGAATAGCTCCAAACTATGGAAAATATCTGCAGGTGAACTCGGCTGAAGTAAAAATGTCTTGCTCTGGCTGTAGGAAAATAGGGTTAATCAATGCCTTACCCACCTGAAATCAAAGCAAAATAACGTAAAGCTTAGGTACCTTGCTTATTTTTCAGTTCCCACTGATTTTTTTTCAGTGAAAAAAATGATCTTCTTATTGTACATTTTGATATGTAGATAGAAGAGGTTGAGACTGAACATCAAGAAAACATTATGCACATTCAGTTTGCAAAGAGATAAAATTAAAATGAATCAAGACCCTTTATATTGATGCATAATACTATTTGCATTTCAACCTCTGTTGGGCACTGTTTTCATTTAAAACCAGTTTCAGAGCCTAGTCAGTATGAAAAAGATATTTCATCAGGAGTATTAGAATATTTAAATATTTCAAAGTTATGTGGCTTGCATTTCTTCATATTTCTTAAATACTGGCATCAATTTCTCTATGTGAATGATGGAACTTGTTAAAAATTAAAAAGGAGTCAGCCATTCGGTTGCCATGTCTCAAAGTGACTAATTGAATTCCAATATTATTCTAATAACCTTGGGCAAAATCATTTCACTTCTGAACTAAGAGGCATAAAAAGGACAACTGAAGAAAATATCCTTAGACTTCTTTAAGGCAACAAAGCAAATTTGTCCACAGCTTAAAGGAAGCTGGTCTAGGACTGACGAAGAATTTAAACCATATACAGATTGAATTCTTACAAAATATAATACAGATCATGGCTCTTTATGATAAAAAGTGCTATTAATTGAGCTTTCACTAGGTGAGGGTCTGAAAAAGTTTCCGTGGGAGGGTAAAAATTAAACAATGAATGTTTTCTCCACCGTACAGATATTTATAGGCTTTGCTATTCAATTTCTTAAATCAGTAATGTGTCCTCATGGAAATAAGACCAAAGGGAGAAAAAAAGAGAAGTGACAAGAAAGTATTCTTCAACTCCAAGAACAACTGGAATGAGGGCAAATCACTGGTAGCCCAGAAATAACTATGGAAAGTTTTTAGGGGTGTAAATCTTGTTAGGAAGGGAGTGGCTGTCAATTAAAATTGACTTTAGATAGAAGTGTACTGATTTTACTTTGTGTGCTCGGTTATTTGGGGTAGCTCTGCTGGAGATAAAGAGAAGGTTAAATTATCCCTGATTCCCACTTCAAGTCCTCTCCTGCGGAGGATGCTTTCCAAGCTTCTGTGGTCCTACTGCTAGGAATAGCTGGAGGAATCCCTAGGTTAGCATTTCTTAATGTGGGATTTGGGGCCCATCTGCATCAGGAAGGAATTGGGACGATTTTGAGGAGTGGTAGTCCAGATGCATCCACAATTATGTAGTTCAGAAACAAGAAGCCCCGTGCAAGGAGCCAGATCGTCAAAGATAAAAGACCTTCAAATATATTAATGTTTAAGCTGAAGGATCAGTGGAAATATTTCATGTCTCTGGTCTCATAAGCATATCAAGGGATTAAAAATATAAAAAATCATTTTTTTATTCCAACCTTCACTAAGGAAGTCATTAAAGGATTCCTAAATTGCCTTTTGAAATTGAGATTTAGAAGCATCAAGTCAAAAGGTAATAAAGAGTATGAAGACTATCGTAGAGCTAACTGATCCACAGGAAAAAGCAGATCAGGAAGACTTGTCGGCAATCACCCAAATGCTTATAAGAACTCAAGGGTAAAATTTGGTGCAACTGGCCAAAGTATTTTACATGTTGCTATAAATTACCCTGGTGCCAGGAGACCATCAGTGTGGTCTCTACCCATCTGAGAACACCATGATAATCATTGGACAGTAAGAGATGCTCAAAAGTATTTAATAAAAAAACTTAGGGACCGATGCAACTAACTTCATTAGCTACTTGTGGAATATTAACAATGTAATTCTAAAAGTATGAATTCACAAATATTTATTGAGTATTTTTTTCATGAAAAATACTGTCCTTGGTATTAAAATACAGTAAAGAAGACCAAGTCTCTGACTTTATGGAGCTCCTACGCTAATTGAGGCAAATTATATTTTTTATATATACATGTATGGTCTACACCGTAGAACTGGAGTGTTGAAGTAGGCAATGTGTAGAGACCCAAATTAAACAACAGATGTACTTCCTGCCCTTGAGATGCACCCTTGAGATGCATCCCAGCAGAATGCATGACAAAGAAGAGGATCATGGATTATAGCAATAACTGGAATAACTATGGGAACAAAGGTGACAACATATTTTTGTGAGAAAAAAATGTGCCTTGTGATCTCTTTGTTAAAGAGCTTTAAGAGTCTAAATTTTTATGTGGGTAAGTGATAATTTTAAAAAATTATTTCCAAAACTATCACAAAATATAGAAGAGGACTGTGAAAAATGATGTATCAAAAATAAATAGTTTGCTTAGTGATAAGATGCTCTGGATAAAAATAAAATTGATAACATGGTTTCCTCAGGAATTCATGCTGAAAACAACTGCAAATAGGGTTGTTAGTTTTACAACAATTAAGCGAAGTTAATAAAATGTTCTTAAGGAACAGTAAAATAACTTGTGTTCTGATTCCATCCACATTTCCTGGAGAGTTCCATAATAAACAAAACTATGAAAACTTTACAGGTCAGCATTAATGAACAATAAGGTAGTAGTAGGTGATTTTCATTAGGGGTAGATATAAAGTTATAATTTAAGAACAAGTAATTTAAATTTAAAATATGGTGATGTTGGAACATCAGCTGCAACTCAGGAGGAAATTGATATCATTTTGGTTACTAAAGACACTAGTTCTTGTTGCCAAAAATGCCCACAAACCTACCTGTCTTCTAGAAGCATAATAAATGAGAAATTTTTAAAAGAAGTGTGCATTTATTTTATATAAAATTGCAGTTTTTCTACACTTGAAATGCCACAGTAATTACTGGTTATCACATATCAAGAAAGACATAAAATAAACAGAAAGTATCTGTAGAAAGGCAAGTCAAGTGATCATTGGAATTAATAGGTTTCAAATGAGTTTGACCATGAGATTTGGTAACTTGAAACATGTAAGAAAAAAATGGAAAAAGGACACAATCCAAGCCTTTAAAATATTGATTGTGGATAACGTAAAGAGAACTTCGTCACCAAACTGTAAGGCAGCTTGAGCACTTGAGAGGGAGATCATTTCATGATCAATAAAAACAAGTAATTGTTTCCACTTCCTTTCCTCCCTAACATTCCACATTTTAATTACCCAACATGCATAGGAAATTCATGATTTAGACTGGATTGGTTTCAAAATGATTTAAGGTTTATTTTTAAGATTTGAAAAATTTGGAGGAAGTGTATTTTATTTAATATTTAAATATGCAGAGCACAGCACAGTGATTGGCAAATAATAAGTGTTCAATAAATGTGGAAAAGTATAAACCCACAGCAAGAGAGGAGTGGAGTTGGGAGAAAATGTTGAGAAGAAAGAAGAAAACAAAAAGGAATGAAAGAGAGAGAGCATGTGCAAATCATGATAAATAATGATAAATTGATCTTGTCTTAGTGTTGGCTATCCTTTAGAATTTTATAGAATAAGCATTTCAAACTCTATGACCAACGCCAACTACTGGAACAAAGAGGTGAAATAAAGATCCTAGAAATAAACAGGAAGTAACAACCTCATGAACCAGACCTGAAACCACTATCTCCTTTGGGATTCATCTAGCTAATGATTCTCTGTCCTGAATGTTCTGAGAAGAATAAAAGTAGAGGAAAGCAAAATAGTGCCAAACTCCTTAGTAGGAAACAATTTGGCAGGTGATAGTGAGAGAGAGCCCAACTAACATGGAAGTATGCAATGCATTTCTAAGATCCCTGCTGATTTTTTGGTTAGGTATCAGAGCCAAGAAGTTGAAAGGATGCTTGCATTTACGGCTGGTGAAGACTACAGAGAAAGCCTTTACTAAAGTGTGAGTTGGCTTTCCCCCAAACATTACATTACCCTTGAATGGAAAATTGATCGGATGACATATGGTGATAACATCTGCCACCCATGGATAAAGCCGTAGTGCCATGTGGGTGGTAATGGAAGCTGTAATAGTGAGGGTGGAGAATTTAATGACAGTATGTAACACTGAGGAAAGTAACAGCAATCGGAAAGAAAGGAACAATTGCTGTAAATCTTAGTGAAGGGTACTATAGGACTATACATCCTATTCTTCTGTAGTCATCTCAGAGGGAATGATGGAAATGAAAGATGCTTTGTCATTTTATTCCCTCCAAGCTGATCTCCGCTGTAACTCCCAAGGAGGCATTTCTCCCAGATAGCGTTTGGGTAGGCACTCTTTCCTTATCAGTACATAGATATTTATTACAAATCTGGCATGATCACAGGAAGAAATTGTACCAATTCAGGGTTATTTATATATTTAAAAGACAAAGATGAGGGCCAACACATTACCTCTAAAGGTTTCTTAAAAATATATTATTTAAATATGAATTTCTGGAAAGCAAAAGAAAACAAGCAGCAAAATAATTAATAACGTTTTATAAATGATATATGTTCATTTGTTTTGTCCTACTCATACAGGAAGATGTAGTACCTACAGCTGCACCTTGCAAACAGAAGAGTTTTATTTGCAAAAAAGCAAAAAGAACAAGAAAAATCTTGCCATGGTTATATGATAATGTGAGGTTTGGCCAGTTTCCCATGGAATTCAAATATTTGAAATGGTAGCAGGTGCCTCGAGAGACTTAGCCAGTAAAACATTTTCAGGTGAATTTTCTGTTTCT